TATATGTACATATGTATATGACGTGTTTTTTTTATATACTTTCCAGGTTATAAAACAGTATTTATTTAATAAGAGAAACTCTCATCTTATATCATTTGTCCTCAAATATTGGCAAATACGTTTTTGGATTTCAATATCGATTTAAATATAGAATCCAAAATAAAGTGCTTATATTAGTTGCAATATTAATGGATTTCTGTATATTTTAGAAGGTTAGGTTTTCTAGTGTAGATGTTCTTAATCCCTTTCCTAAGTTCAAACCTGTAGCTCATCTATTAAAAAGTATACACCCAATTCTGTTTTTATACGGTAGATTGGTTCTTAAAAAGTCGCTAAGGTTGTACTTAATGCTAATAAAAATTTTAATAATTGTTTGTTCTAATCGTTATTTCGCTGAGTGTATACTTATGTTTTGACGGAGCCATTTAGGTTGATTCGTCCTTGTCGTCACAGCAAATGGACTCCACTCAGAACGCTATCCTGTAGATGACGACCCATTTAGCATACTACATATGTATGTATATACATACACGTACATACATACATACATGCTTACAAGTATGTACAGATGATACAATGAGCGTTGTCAACGCGCCATAATAAGGAAGCCACATGAAATCTCGTCTTGATACTTTAACTAGAGAAGAGCACAGAGGTACAAGCATTTATTGTTGCTGCACCGTTCTCTCGCGTCCGCCTTCGTCGTCGCCAGTTACGATACTTGGCATGCCACTTCCAATTGAATTAATTGAAATTCTTCAGTGGACTAAACATACAGTATAAGTATATTATCCACATATGCATGTCGCTTATTATAGACCACATATACATACCTACCTATGTACATCAATACATGGTATATATATGTATGTAGAGTATGCAGGTTCGCCGTTTTGGGCTGACCCTCAAATATTGGGAGCCCGTCGAATCTTTGGACTGTCCGATGTGACGAAATAATTATGCGTGAAGTGTGGAAGTGATGGGCTGGAAATTTTAACAATTTGTGCAACTATTTATGCCGGTTGCATGCACTATGTTAGTGGACGAGGGGGTGGCGGAGGGGGAGGGGGAGAGCGAACTGCTAGTCGGGACCAGCCTAATCTTCGAGTACAATACGCGTGCCTGCCTTAGCGCTGGCAGATGTGCTGCCCATGTGAGAGGAGGAGAGTAACGGCGATTTAAGATTGAAAAATTGTAACAAGCGAGAGTGAGATAAAATAATCTCATATTTATGTATTTATGTGTGTGTGTGTGTGTGTGTGTGTGTGTAGGAAAGGGGCTGTTGCTATTATTTCGACTGATTTTGTACATGCATGTACACTAAATGGAACCTATGTGTGTGTGTGTGTGTGTTCTGTTGTGGATGCGGGACATTTGTGGGACTTAGTTAATAATCAACTGTAACTGTGATGTGTGTGTACATACATACATACATACATATTTATGTATGCGTGTGTGTCACTCTTTTTGTTGCTGAATTGATGTGTGCAGCACACATCTATCCATGAGGGCGGCATGTCCCACACACCCAACACATACATACATGCATACATACATACTTGCATACATACATACACAGAGCGCGCTACTCGGTAATGAATTGATGGTTATTTTCAAAAATCCAATGACTGCCCGCGCGATCATTGCACAAATCAGTTGAAGAATCGCACTCGAGCGACGATGTTCTCGGAGTTCTCAGCGCGCGATCCACGGCCCGGCGACGATCCAATAAAATAAAATCAAATCAAATACTACACAACTGTGCTTAATCTGCTCAAATTCAAATAAATAAGTATTCATATACATATATATGTACAGGCATACATACAAACATTTATAAATATAGTAAAATAAACGCCAGAGACAGAGGCAGAGCCACGAGCGACTGAGCGAGGTTAAGACCCTTCCAAAGGCGCGATAATCTTAATCGGCAGTGCCGACTTGAAGCTGAGCGCAGCAGCCCACGCCCGCTCGCGGGTGGGTCGTGGTTCTCAAGCTCGATCTCAAAATTGAAAAGCTTAAAACTAGAAAACGATAGTGCTATAGCATACGTGAACCTAATGCCGATCTGAGCTGAACATTGCAGGAATAATCATCACTTGAGTGAGTTGTAATTGTAAGATCATTCCCTCATTGTTCCGGTATACTTGTACATTTATACATTCTGTATTCATACATTATTCATTCTGTTAGCTTTTCAAATTGAATGAATTTTCAACATGTCAAAGATACATACATGTGTCATTCGCTCCTATAATTTAATTAAGTAATTTAAGTAAAAATCGGCATGTTGACTGAGTGTGAATAATTGACACTCGTTGTGTTTAAGGTCAGGAGAGCAACACGGGCAGGAAACGCTGTCATATATCACAATATACTATATTTATATTCCGATAGGTCGACGATGACTTCCGATTCTGAATTTGTTTGTGTTTCATTTAATTATTAAACAAGCCAACTACTTGTAGATGCTTACAAGAAATATCTGTCCATGTTGGCTCTTACAATTTGTTGCATATCTTTGAACAAATGCAAGCACTTGATGAGAATACTTCTCATGCCTCATAGCTCATCCTGCTGCTGCTCCTCCTCCTCCGTCTCGCATAATTCAGGCAGGGAAAGGCGACATCAACATCAACAGCAACAGCAGCAGCAACAACAATAAACGCAGAAGCAACATCAGCAGCAACGGCAACGGCAACGGCAACGATGTCTACATTGTGTGTAGTTTTATTCGTTTAAATTCAATTGACTTTGAATGCTCCACAATGAAGGCAAACAAATACACACACACACACACACACGCACATACAAACAAAAACACACACAGACAAAAAGACACACACAATTGAGAGCGGCGCATACGGGCAACGGAAAACGAATGAGGGTCAATTAAGCCAATTTAAATTTAATAAACTTATGTATTATGTGCAAGTAATAAGAGGAGAGGTTACTAGCCAAGCAATATGGCATATGCCACATCCAACTTGTAATGATACAGACACACGCACACACACACACACACACGCACTCACCACACAAACAAGCAATCGGACCAAAAATATGTACAATATTTTCGAAAAGATTTATAGAGAGACTGGCATGGCTGTACATAAGGTTAAGTACACATGTACATATGTGTATTTATAACTCAAAATATCTAAATGATAAAGTGCATAGTTCATATACACGTATATACATACATATGTACACATGTATGTGCATATATCAGTTGGAGGCAGCTGCCGCTTCAACCTGTCAATCGTGAAAGCCGGCGCCTGGGGCCAATGTGTGAAAGTGAAACGACAAGGGAGCCTCAGTCGGAGCCATCGGAGCACAACAATATCCTGTGGCAACAGTATTAAATATGTATAAATTTTATTGTCGCTGTTCATTTTTCAGAGCTCTCGCAAATGTAACAACTTCCTGGAAGCAATCGAAATCCGAAAGATACTCGTAAGTAAGCCTGAAATAAAAATCAATAGGAATCCGGGCAGCTGAGCAAGTCACTTTCCTAAGTACTAGTGCCGCAGGAGCTAGGTCTGTGCCAGCAATACCTCCTGCTGCCCAAGTGCTTATCAAAGTGAGGAGTCTCCACCACCAGCAGCCGGAAAAGGAAAAGTGCTCTTGCGATTTGTATATCAATTATAATTTGTTTTTATTTATTATTTTCCCTATTAGTTATATAAAAACTAATCCTTTGACAAATTATGCTAATCTTTGAATTTTTGCTTACAGTTTAACTTATTTCTTGGCAGAAATTTGTCTAAAATACTCGTATTTATGTACGTACTGTATTCTGTAGCCCCGGAAGTAGTAATCCTTGCCAAACAGCGTGGACGCACCAACACACAAAGGTATGTAGGTGCTATATGACTTTTGGGAAAGGATACTAAGGCTTCGGTAACCGAAGACTTGCGGCATTCGTTCGACTTGTTTCAATTGTTCTATAAATGCATAATATTCGTAAATACTTTATTTTAGTTTTTCTAGATCTAGATCCTTTCTCAATAACACAAAAACTGTTTCTGCAACAACATAGAAGCGTACATTTTTATTAAATTATTATTTATATACAATAATCTAAACGTTATCGTTGCGATCTCACTTAGGCATACACAAATAATTTGCAGGAAAACATTTACGCTATACGGAGACAAATATCATTTGAGTCCTTGCTGCCTCGATGACGAGCTAACTTCTACATTCTAAATAAGTAGTATGTACACATTGATTCTTAGAACTAGCATAGGTCTAGTTAAATATACTATATGTATGTATATACTATGTATGTATGTATAATTTCTTAACATTGGTTGTTTATTTGTGTAAACACTGAAGCCCTGGCCCGGGCCAGTGACGTCGATGATAGATGTTGAGTAAACAAAATCGAAATGAAAATCAATAGGTAATACTTTTTCAGAGGATATGACATGATATTCTCACAAATGCGACTCCTGCAGAACTCTGCTAGTAGGTCTGGAAGAATAGTACGCGTCCTGTTTAGATTAAATGGATATTATGGCAAAAATTAGTGAAATTCTCAGTTGGTAGTGACACAACATCAACCACGATTCGGTATTAGCTCCTTAGAAAGGTTCGATATTAGCTGGGTAAAGGTAAGGGTAAGGGTTAGGCTGTTTTTATACTTGTATGTATGTGTGGTTCAAAGCTGGATGCGGATAGCGAGGATTGATGAGGAATGCATGACGATATGTTAAATTGACATCGTTTGATATTAATTGCTGGATTGGGGGGCATAACAAGACTCGATATGTTCTCAGTAGTTGTGCGTGATTTACCGCGATAATGTTTTGCGTTCCTTCTGTACGATATTAGGGGCTTAATTACAACAAATTAGATTCGAGTTATTTACAAAACGAGTGCAATTGCAATTACACTTTTGGCCTTGATACAAAAAATTAATACATACGATAATTACTACTTAGTACACGAGTACATACACAAAAGTTCTTACAAGTAAAAGAAGTCTTTCCTCAAACCATGCGAATAAATATGTATATAGTATGTAGTAGTATGTATATCTAGTGTTTAGGATATTATTCGATACGACACGATACAATATACGTTCATGTATTAATACACATCTTTGTACACTCATTGTCAGACATACATATGCATTTAAGTATATCCATATGCACGCTGGGGACTTATCTCAGCATACTCATATTATATGCGGATGCGTTTATATACAACTTTCCTGAATGCGATTCGAAGTGGTGACGACCTCCGGTCGAAAACGGTACTCGCTTAGCGATGACGTCACCGATGGATTATTCGGGCTGAGCAAACTGACCTCCATGGGCTGCGGTGTTAGATGATATGAAGATGAGGGCGTTGATGTACTTACACTATAGGTCATCGAACCGAGCGGCGGGCTACAGGTTGTGATGCCTTTCTTATTAAGAGTCGCATAGCTCTGTAGAGAGAAAGAGGGAGAAGCGGAGAGTAGGGGAGTAGTAGTCAATAGTCAATAGTCAAAATGCGTTATATGGCCCCCAAAATGTCAGTGTAAGCCCTTTTCAGTACATACTCTTGCTTGATTGAATAAATTAAATAATTGTGTATTATACAAGTATAAGCAATGACTTTGGTGAGATGCTTAGATTTTACCCAGTCCCAGGACACACCATCAATAAATATACATACTATATCTAAATATATATGCGTAGATACAGGTAAGTGTGTTTTCGTGAACTTACAATTTGTTTGCTTGGGCGGAAAGTGTAATGGAGAACTTCGTTCCCAGAGTTGCTCATCAGGCCAATGCTAGGCAGGCCCTCCGGCACAGCCAGGTTCATGGAGCCCATGGAACTCATGCATTGCGCTGAATTGGAGCTCACACCCGCCCCTACATTGTCTCCATTGGATTTTCCATGCTCCATGTCATGGCTGGCGAGATATTCGCGCTGCATGAGACGCGTCGATGGACTGGAAAAGAGCGGAGACGCCACTAGCGACTTCAGCGGACGTTTTTCTACAATCAGAGATGTTCGGATGTGATTTCTAAAGGGCTTCTGATGCAGCATTAGTTTTTCATTCTTACCGTACTGGTTTGGTATGACATCGGGATCTGTGTCATCCACCTCAGCCTGATCGCCGAGCAGCTGTGGACTGTGTCGACTGCGAGCCGTCGAACGAAGTGTGTCGCTGCTCACGGCGAGGCCAATGGGCGAGGTTCTCGTGCCGCCATCGATGCCCGCCTCCCCCAAGTTGCCGCAGTCGACAGCATTTCTATTATCACAATTTATGGGAAGCAGACTGTGGTGGGGCTGGTGATTATTCTGATCGTGGTGGCTACTCGGGTGCAGGGGGTCCAGCTGGCAGTCAGCTGGTATTGAGAGCTGCGTGTGCTTGACGGCCTTAAGATTATTATCGTTGCGTCTGGAGAATGCAGTAATTGACATGCTCAGAATAACAATAATGGAAAATTGAATAGCCATTAAATATGCTCACCTATTTGAAAACCTTCTGTAAATGGCTGCGAGTATAATGCATGATATGGCGAAGAGCAGTCCACAAAACAGAGTCAGTCCGGCCAGAAACGGCGATAGTGGCATCGACAGACCCGTAGAAGCACCTTATGACAGAAATTAAATCTGGATATGAACTATAATTGCAAATTAAAATATGCCTGTCTTACCTGTAAACTTGGCCACACCCTTGAAGTTGATATCGTCTATAATGATGGGCTCGGAGCGACCCTTGGCATTGACAGCAAATATGATCATCCGGTAAGTGGCCGCTTGGTCCAGGTTTTCAATGACAAAGCTGACAGGTGTGTGCTGAAGGATATAAGAAAGATAATGCAGGATTTATAGTTTTAAACGATCTTAACTATATCCAATACTAATAGCGATCTCTTTTCGAATCGTGCCGCTTCTCAATTGGCTGAAATATACTAGTGCTCTAACTTCATTGTAACTTCAGGATTCATTGAGATATTATTGAAAACTAAAAAATACGTTCGTTTGGTTACGATATCGTGATAAACAAAAAATGTCTGCATGTTTTTACGGACAAATTTGTCTCTTCCTTAGTATGAATATAAGATGGTAACGAAATGAAAAATGAAAATGATATATGATATAAAGAGTTTGCCGATTTATGATGTGACTTCAGGATATTTTCATATAACTACAAGTATTTAAGTGATTTCTGCACTGATAAGCTCTAGTGCAGTTATATTAAAAAACTGATGACTGACTTATTTGAAAAGAACTTATTTAACAGAGCTTTTCATTACAAATCATGTAAAAAAAAATTAACGCGAAAAGCTGTCGCGGAATGACTTACCGAAACCGTTAGATTTCTGGCCAAGCGAAGATTATTTAACTCGACCAGCTCCAGCATAAAGCTCTGGGGTAGGCCACCATCGAAACCCTCAATGCACTCGACTTGCAGCGAGTCCACTGATTGATTGGTCACTGTACAGTTTTGAAGCGGAAACGGCCGACCTGCGAATGCATTAATGGGTAGTGATTGTTACAAGTATTTGAGAAATATTAGTATCCCCTATCACCCTACCACTGTCAGGGCTGGCAATGCTTACCTGCAGCCACAATTTGAAAGACACAAGGACTCTTTTGCAGCCCAATCGAATTCTTGCCCCAACACGATATGGTGCCATAGTCTAGGTCCGTGCTCGGTGTATAATTGAGCCGCGACATTCCCGTCTGCAATGAAAGCAACCGTAAGTAGTTGGCAAAAGCACAACTAATTGCATTTGAGCACTCACTTCAGTTGAGTGTAATCGGGCGGGCAGCTCGGTTTGCTCGCCAGATGAGTTGAATGTCCAATGGAAGGAGTCGGCCGGCGGGGAGGCGTCCACTTCACATTTCAATGCGAGTGTCTCGTGCTTCAATGCGCCCAGGAGCTCTTCGTGTTCGGTTGCACAGATGGGAGCATCTGCCATGCGTGGCCGGGAATTATTGATAAATGCATAATTGAAGTATATACATACACGTACATATAGTATTTATTGGAATAATCAGTGCATCATTAGGTTGGCTTAAATAAAATCTCAAATTTTCTTCTTTAAAATAGCGATGAATTAATTTTACATTTGGCCGCCCATTTACCTCTTTTTCGTCGCTGCCATTGCGCGTTTGCAATATCATTTACTATAAGTGCCAAGCTGGCAATGCATTCATTGCTCCATAATCTTGGTCATTAACGTGGGCATGGGCATGGGCATGGTTTTAGTTTCGGTTGCGGGTGTGGGTGCGAAGGCGCGTGCGGAGATGGGCTTTGGTCCTGGCGACCATCCATGCCCGAAAACTTAACGTGCATGCGGCTTTTGTTTTTGGACTCGAGCCAAAGTAGCAATGAACTCTTAGCTAACTGACTGACTAACTAACGTAAATGCATTAAGAGCCATTCAAACTCAAGCATTACATTTGAAATTACGTATAAAGCGTGTCGCCCAGCCCGTACCCGTTTAATGCCAGCCTCTCTGGTGACGATGGTTGACAATATGTGTCTGAGTGTTTGTGTATGTGTGAGTGTGTGAGTGTGTGTGTGTCTGTGCGTCTGTGTACTTACAACGTATGCGCAATGTGACCGGATTGCTGGGACCTCTGCCCTCTGAGTTAACTGCCTGGCAGGTGTAGTCGCCGGCCGAGGCACGAGAGACGCTTTGCAGGACCAACGATTGATCCGATAGAATAACACCAGCTGAAATGTTATGCTGCAACTCCTTGCCCTGCACAGAACGGAATTCATAAGTTTCGGAATAGAATAGAATAGAATAGAATGTGAATTGTAAATACGAATTAGGTATATGCATAGTACTCGTATCTGTAGGAAAGGTGTCAGCTCTCGTAATTTATTATTCACTCACATTGTGATACCAGGACATCTTGTAGGGCTTTGGATTCGATTGGACGACACATTCAAAGTACGCATCGTCGCCCTCTTTGATATCGTCGGGATTCAAGGACGAGCCCATTTTCAGCACTGTGGTGGGTTGGTCTGAAAGGCACAAAGAAATTCAAGTTCATGCAATAAACTCGACATTATTTTGTTGTGGTTTTTTCTTTGGTATGCAAGCGCGAAAATTAGTGGCTTTTATGCCACTGCCTTTCACTTTCACTTTCGCTTTTACTTTCCCCCACTTACAGTGGACAATGAGGCGCCATTTGTCCTCGATGGCGCTGCCCTCGATGAATTGATTCTCGGCCCGACATGTTAAATATTTTCCATCGTCCTCGCGACTGGGCGTAAACGTCAGTATACTTAGAGATTGATTATCGGGTTCATTAAACTAAAAAGAAGCGCAAACAAAGCCCATTAGGAAATGAATAATGAAAGCGAAGGCAGCGACAATTATAAGCGCAGTCCTGGCCCGAATTGTGCGGCGCATCCCTTGACAACGTTCACGTCTCACTTAATACCACCTCACCAATGCCTGGTAAGTTGTGGCAATAACGTCGTAACATTTATTTGCATTTAATTAACGCACAGCCCAAACTTCGCTTTAATACCGCTGCTCTTTACTTATTCACAGTCCGGGGATTTGTCTTACATTCTTCGTCAGTTTCTTTAGCTGCTTATTGCCCTTCCACCAAGTAATCAGCGCCGGGGGCTTCGAGCCCGAGCTTTTGCATTCGACATCGTAGGAGCGGTCCGCGGACACGAAGCGATCCTTTGTGAGGATGTGCACTGCAATCGGTTTCACTGGAAAGCACATTAGCATTAGCATAAGCAATCGAATGATTACTAAATCGGCTCCAACGGAGTCACTGGTCATCTACTCACAGTTGACATCAAGTATAACCACTTTATTATTCGGCGGTGTCAAATTTGTGTTGCTGGCCACACAAACAAGTCGCGCGTTCAAGTGCTGTCGACCGATGTTTGGATAGGATAAATGGTTGACGGTCTTGCCATCGGCACGTTGATCAAACGATTCATCAATCACAGTGTTGTCCAAGTACCAGGTGACATTTGGACGTGGGCGACCTGAGAAACATGACAATAGAATCACAAGAACCGATAACCCATGCACACATTTACAAAATGTTTCTATGAATCTATCGAATTTCTAGCTCAAGCCCTCTGCAAACTCCCGTACTACTCATTAATGCTTACACTTTCAATGTCTTTTCATACCCTGTACCTGTAGGGAAAAAATTGTATATTAGGTCTGTGCAAAGTTTCAAACTTTTCAAACAGAAGGAAGCATAAAGTATATACATATATTCTTGATCAGCATGACAAGAGAAATCGATCTGGACATGTCTGGCTGTCCGTCTATCTGGTTGACGCTTCTAGTCCCTAGACTACACGAGTTTATTTTATTTTTTTTGTTTTTCTTCCCCTCTCTTCGCTACAGAAGTCCGCCAATACTGTCCACATGTTTAAACCTTTATAAGCCAAACTTTGCACACTTAATTCATAAATAAATATCTACTTTCTATTCATCTAAATCGGTCAATTCTAAGAAAAGTTATTAGCGAAAAAAGTCACTGCAGTACTACGCCCACAAACTGCAGTATCAAGTTCGCTCTTCTTCTTATTTTTGCTTCTGCTAGGGGCAGATATACATACAAGTATGTAAGTCAGTGTCGGAAGTTTGCCTGGGTACAGGGTATTTCACTGTCGGGCTTGCTCGACTCTAGCGTTCTCTCACTTTTTCTTTTTTTTCTTGACTTATTATTGGAGTTTGGAAACAGCATGAGGGTTTTAGAAGACTGTCCATTTCACTTACCGCCTGAAACTTCGCAGGCGAGCACAATGTCATTGCCTTCATTGAATGATTCCACATTGCTTGCCTTATCGTGCCGATTGGGTCCATAAATAATGGGTCGATCGGGTGGCACTTTAAAAATTGTTGAGATTGCATTTTATTGCAGCTGCAGCATATAGTACTATTATCACTTATATTACCAATAACTGTGAGATTGATCTTGAGGTTTCGTGTGGGCGAGTTGCGAAAGTCGACCCGACATCGATAGACGCCCTCGTCCTCAATGCGAATATTGTCTATTTTGAGTTGTGCAGGATGGGAAGTGCTGCTGAAATGGGCACGTGTTCCAAACGCCAATGGCGATGACCAAAGACGGGCCTGGCCAAATTGACGTCCACGCACATCGAAGCTGTAAGAGAAGGTTATGGTATTGGTGGAGAAAAGGTGTTGGAGGATTTTCAGTTTTCAGTTGTCTCACTTGTAGATGGGCTCGCCATCGCCTTCGCGAAACCAAAGCACCATGTATACTGCATCGTCCCGCTCCAGGGGCGTGATGTCGCATGGCAGCATCGCCTGTCTGCCCAGGACACCTTGCACCGATGTTAACGGCACTGGTCGGTCCAACTCATGTATTAGCTCGTCCGGCTCCAGATATGAGCTCCGGACCAGGCAGCAACTGGCCAGGAGTAGACAAATGCCAAAACACCATGAGGGCGATTCAAATGAAGTCGTTTTTACGTTCAGCCCCCGCCCCTTCCCTTGATTGATATGTTGTCGCTGGCGTTCTGGCTGTTGCCTCTGGCAAATAAGCCCGAATGTGGCGACGGCAATGGCAGTGTTCGTCCTTCTCATCGTCCTCGTCATTGTCGTCTCTGAATGCATCATCTAGCTTGCTCTGCGCTTTAATGGAACTTGTCGCTTGTGAGGCCGTTCTGCCTACTCATACTTATTGACTTTTTGGAACAACGCTTGCAACACGCTCTCATTGTGTCAGGTCCTGAGCCCAGCCTCACATTCAACGGCTGGCATTTACACGACCAAATAGCAAGTGAAGATGTGCGGCTGTAAAATGTGATGGGCACTTAATTAGCACATCGAAAAGGTACGTTTATGACTCTTATTTTAATCGTCCAAATATGTATGTATTTCAACTGATCTAACTTTTTTGGGACGTTTCATTTTTGTAATGTTATATTATTAAACACAGTTTTCATCCTTATTTCTGAAAATATCAATCTCTTCCTCCTACAGAATGTATCGTTTCTTAACGCAAATAATAACACATCAAATAAGTGCTTAAAGTCGGAAAATATTATTTAATATTTATATTAAATTAATATATTTGTTCTTCAGATATTTCAGTATTATTAGGTAGTATTAAATATTTCATTCAGAAATGGTGTCGGGCCCTGGCATAATTAGCAACAACAACGCCAACAACGAGCAACAATGTAGGTTCGTTCCTAAGTATATGACTCGATTCGAATCACGACGCCCCTACCGTCATCGCATAGAACATGATTTCAAAATTTCTAGCAGTTTAAGAATTCGGTAAGAGTGGCCTCCTATCTAAATAATCTCAAGCTGTCGTGTAAAGGCCAAATCTGCGGGTCGATTCCGTAGCATAATAAATACATAAAAAATAATAATAAAAAAAGTCATAGCAGAATGTAGTAGGTATTTTAAACTAAAAGAGTTTAGAATGGCAATCTATATGTGCCAATATAAAATAATGTTTATATTGTATTCGATTTGAAATCTGTGGAATATTTTTCCACAGCCTGTATCCAAAAGTGGTGTTAGGTAAAAGGATATTCCAGTTCAGTGAGTACGGATTAAAAAAATAAAGATGGAAATATATAGTTTAGTAGTATATATTCTTAATGAGTACGATAAGATGATTTGTGATATATCTAGGTGCGTGTAACCGTTTGTCCGTTTATTGCTCATTCCGTTTAGAATCTCGGAATGAGCAATAAGCAAGACCTTTTTTACTTTTTACTCTCGTTATTGTTGAAATCTGATTACCTAAGTAGGATAATTACATCCCCTTAGTGATTATCTGTCGCCATGTCAAGGTTCAACGTGTCATCATCAATATCTCCTCTCTTGTATCAATAGATGTACAAGTATGTACTTAGGTGTTATATATAATTGGTTCATTCATTTGCAATTAAGTTAATTTAAGAAATATGTACATTTTAATTGATTGAAATTTAAATTAAAAATTGTTTAGCTAGCACTGGGAACGGGGTTTTGAGAGTTTTGAGCATTTCATAGAAAATATGTATTGAGCAGAACTTTTTCTCAAGTGGCTAGTCATTCAACACTTTTGGCAACAGGCAGCCCTCCGCGTCGCATTTAATACCATTCATTTTATATGTATACAATTTCTACCTTTATTTTTGCTCATAACAGTTAACTGATTAAAAACAATGCAACTATGACTAAGCCTTAAACGAAAAAAGAGGTAGTACGAGAATTGCTGCGATTTGCGAACAATAATTAGCCAATGGGGTTTCGTTTTTTGTTTTGTTCTTCGGTCTGGTCATTTCAAAAGCAAATATGCCGCCCCTTTGCCACATGCATTATGTATTCATATTCAGAAATTCCAGAAAAAGCCACAAAAGAGGTGTTGTATAGAATTTGTTCTTTTTGTTTTCCAATTTCGTTGATGAATGAGCTCATGGCCAAGATGGCATTCATGACGCTATTACGGTCACTCGCGCCGTGCTGGTGAAATTGCTATACACGAGTAGTAGATGCTCAAAAAGCATTTGTTCAATCTTAACTGTCAACAAAATCTGCTAAAAAATGTGTAGTCATTTATTTGGCGCATTGGCCCGCATTGCCAAAAGCGTAGACGGAGCTCTCAACATTCACAGCGGGCTAACTACATTGTTCGGGTTATGCTTATGGTAGTTATGGTAATTTTATGGGACAGATTATAAGCTAAGCACTGGCTAAGCAATTATACAGCTATTCTAAACTGGATAGCGTTAAAGGGCACTCCCAAATAGATGGGCCAGTATGTACTCGTATGTGTCCCACATATGGCCAAGATCGATTGATAACAAAAGCTTTATGTGTGGCTGAGCTGCCAACCAATCAGCCAACCAATTTTCATTCTTCTGCTTAACATCTCGAATATCAGCTCAAAGTTATGGGCATAATGCCCCTTTATGGACATTTAATATTATAACTTAATTAATTATTACGATATACAACCAAAACGACTGCGCGTGAATGTTCGCTTGTCTCTACATTTGTTTTCATATTTCCGTCAACCACTCAGTCTATTCGTCAGTTAGGCAGTTAGTCAGTTAGCCAGTTTGGCAGTCGATTTGTCCGGCATACCGTTTGTTTGCTTTCAATATGCCAAAGTGGCCAATGGGCGGTCTTGAGGCTATAACCATATAGCTACCAAAGCATAAACAACAATGGGCTGGTTAGTTCTGCTATTCAGACTACATACAATATTTTGTACATTTTATATTTGTATGGAAGGGTGTACATGTGTTTGTGTGTGTGTGTGTGTGTGTGTGTGTGTGTGTACACTGTCTGGACCGAGTCCTAACCGGTTGCCTTTTATTCAAATCATCCATCAATGAACTTGAATTTATACTCATTTAAAATTCATTAGTTTTTATCTTTTTCCATAGCTATGAAAACAATGGGCATGTTGATTTATTAATTTTTATTTTATTATTTTATGCATTACATATTTTACATGGAAACAATGTCAATAGAAGAGCCAGAGCCACAATGTGCGTTTAACGAGCTCTTTTCTGTAACACAACTGTGTCGCACCTTGCCATAGACAGGTAAATATTTATGCTTATTTACGACAAATGGGGGCACACAATGGCCAGCCAGAACAGCGTGGTGGGCCTGTAAAAATTTGTTCTTTCATTTTGTGCGTTTGTTTATCGGTCAACGCATATGTAGAATAAAGTGAACATTTTATTTCACGAACCTCGCCTTCGACACTTTGAAGCTGCTAAGCTTTTTCTAATGAATGCAATTAAATGGTTTCCCGTCATAAAACTAATTTTAAGGCTTTGTTCTCATCACGGCCAGGCGCGATTTTTCTGTGTATGTTAGCAGATCACAAGAAGTGAGCATTTCGCAAGGTGCTAACAACAACTAAACACATCCCCACACACCCCCAGCTCGGTTCCCATCTCAGTGGAACCATCTGATATGGCCAGTTTATGGTCAACAGCAGCCGCTGCTGCTCCCAACGGCTTCGATTTGCTCAAATCGCCCATTTTCTCTAAGAATAATCACAACAATAACAAGAACAGGAACCTTCTCGCATCGCACAAATATACAAAATATGACAATAACAACAACGACAACAACAACGAAAAAAAATCAAATAAAATTTAATAAAACCTGTTTCAGGCTTTATGTTATGTGTAGTTTTTAAAAGTATACGCGACACCGAAAATGCTAAAAGATGTTTGAGCTTTGCCGTTCGAGAGCTGCTGGTTCGCTTGAAAAACAAAACCAAAAAAAATACAAAAAAAATGCTTGGGGTCTTTGGTGTTGCTAATTAAGATTACAGACATCGATACTTTTCGGAATGTAGCGGCATGGGCGACGTGCTCCGTGAACATGAACATGCATATGTACATACATATGCATGCATACATACATATAAGTATGTATGTATGTATGTATAGTATGTGTGTGCACATATGTATGCCTATATGTATGAGCTGTTCAGCAGCCAAATCGATTAACGCCACTTTATGCTTTTTTATAGTTAGTTACAAAAGTCCTACATCAACGTCAATTCTGTTTTTTTTTTTTTTTTTTGAATAAATATATTTTTATTTTGTTGCTGTTGTTGTTGCCGTTGATTTTGATGGTAACTTATTAATACTGCGGTTTAATTTGCGTTTATGCAGATATGAGCATAAATTTAATGCGAAATAAGCAACCTGATAACTCACCTACTAATGTATGTATACGAAATGGATTTCATTCAATATTCCATGTTGTTTTTTTATTGTTATTATGATGCTGTTTCTTTTTATTCAGCTGTAGCTGAACAGCTCTTTCGGTTTAATGGATCAGCCAATCGTGCGGTTTAGCAACTGTTTCTAGTTAGTTTCTTAGATTTGTCTGCGACACGCCGTCTAGCTGAGATGAAATCAATGATAAACGCATGAATAAAAACACTACTTAACGAGCACACGCGACGTGGTCAAGTTGGCCTTTGCTGAACGACAGCAGCACCACCACCACCACCACCAGCAGCAGCACCACCACCACCACCAATAACAACAACAGCAATAGCAACAAGCAGAAAAACCAGAAGTAGGTGTAGGAGGGAGGGGATTCGTCGTCGTCGTCGTCGACGTCGACGTGAACGATACGAGTACCTAATTGGATAAAATTTACTGACACACTTAAAGGACACCGCACATTTTTCACATTGCAGCGCATACGAGTTGATTTCTACTTCTTTTTCTTCATTTTTTTTTCACACTACCAGGCACAATAGATTTGGGATTGTGAGTCGTTGTTGCTGTTGCTGTTGCTATTGGTGTGGCTGTAGCTGTTGCCGCAAGTGTAATCAAGTGCCACTAAAGATCTCTCGAATCTCTCTCGTTTTGACAACTATTACCATAACAAATCAGCTCGCTTGGCTGTGACAGGCCAATTGAAGCGCACAACACAAAAAAAATATTTACACGGCAGGCAGACAGGCAGACAGGATGGCAGGCATGCGGGCAGGGAAGCGGAAGTACGGAAGGGGAGCTGGGTTAGTTCGCTCAGTGGGACAATGTTGGAGCTACTATCAAAGCTCTGCTTAGATAGCTGTTAGTCAACCAACTAGGCAGTGGCGCGGTGGCGGTGGTGGTGCTGGTGGTGGTGCTGGTGACGGTGGCGAGACGAGTACGCGGCAACGACCCAACCGCGCAGAAGACAGAGAGAGTTGGCCGAGGGGGGGTGGAGAGCGAGGAAGCTAATGGTGAAGGCAATCCCCGTCGCGAAGCTCAAAGGGAGAGCCTGCCTGAAAGGCTGACTGTCGTCCGTGCTTGCGTTTATCCTTGGCGTTTTTGTGTGAGCTGCCAGTATTCTTCCTTTTTATGTTCAAGTCGTAAATTCCAATTATCGACAAAGTCGAGGCACACGGCACAAACAAGAGAGTCCGTCGTTCCCGCTGCCACCTCAAACGTTGCCGACTTCGTGGCTTTTCGCGGCACGGCCAAAACCGAGAGTTCAAATTCAGTTGCTGCTATTTTAGTCACTGTTACGTTTTCATTAATATATTTAAATTTCGGTAATCCTCGTCTCGTATGAGAGTGGGTGTTGATGTTCGTGTCAGTGCTTCTCTGTGTGCGTGTGTGTGTGTGTGTTAATGCAATTACTAAGTTAGAGTTAACTGTTGGCGTCGATGCCACGATCCCATAGGTACGGAATGGGCCAACACTAGCAAGCAGACAAGCTTTGTGGTCAGCACTGGGACTGCGAATGAGACTTTTGTTTGGTTTTCATTTTAGGCGGCAATTTGTTGAGTGGTGTGTTATTGTTTTCATTGAAATCAATTTAATTACAAACTGCACTTTTCCAGCACATATGCTATTTATTCTTTGGAAGTAGATATGCACATACATACTCGTACATAGCTATGTACATATATTGCTTGTATTTATCATCATTCATCATTACATACTTTCTATTGCTTTCACAAAATTCCTCGTGCACAAAATTCACGAGCACCTTTTACGAGACACGGCACTTGCTTGTTTGTATGTGTGCGTGCGTGTGAGTGCGCCTTTTAAATTGTTACCCTCGAGCATTCCGCATCGAACGGATTGGGCCACATTTGAACGTATCCGCGATTCTTGACTTATTCCGACACCAACGTCCGCACTGTTAAAGCATCGCATATCTACTAACACGAAGTGTATTCTGGATACGCAAATTCCTCTCTTGCATCGCATAGATTTTTCGAAATTCGAAAAAGAGCACACACCGGTCCGAAGAGCAGCCCTCGGCCAGAAACTTGGTAAATGTTACCACGGCGCCATATATCGTAAATTTCACTGTACGATGTCGTTGTAACAGTGCCCAAGAAAAGATATTTACGATATTTCTGCTGTTAACGACACTGGTTTTTCTCTTTCATAAGAAATGCATTTCGAATATTTACACATTATAATACTTTTGCTGTATGAATTGAAGATTAAATATGTGGAAAATGGTAGCCAATTTTAATTTTCAATTAAGCTTATTCAATTACTTTCAAGAGCCAGTAGTTGCCTTTGAATGACATCCATTTGTAACAGCTTACCAAGCTGGATTTTAATTATGTACGCAAACCAATTTAGTAATGTAGTTTTAAAGTATTGAATAGTTGCAAAGATATTTAAACGGTTGTGGATTAAGCAAATATATTTGATGGGTGTGGAAAAAACAAGACTCAAGTCCGCTTTCTTTGGGAATAAAAAAATTAAACGTATCAACTTGTATTGTTTATAATTTTCGATTTCTGGGTCTATATTTCTAAAGCATATAGCTCCTTAATTATAGGTTACGGGCAGGGAAAGTAAATGCTTATATTTTCAACTGTATATTCGTATTTCCCTAAGTTTTATTTAAAAACATACAAAATTAATCTATATTATAAGCTTCAACTTCTTTATGGGTTTCTCAATTGTTGCCTGTATACATAATTGTATATACCAATATATATTCCCGAATAAAGCGTTACCAATTGGACTGATTGGATATTTTGTTCGTCTTTTTTCCATTTTACAAATGATTACTATCGACAGAGAGTCGGGATATTTTCATAACCCATTATCCATCGAATTCTATTTTAAAATTTCACAAAACTGCGTCTACTTCAGAACCTGTGAATAGTTGCCGACTAATAAATGGTTATTATTTTCGATTATATCGATGGATATGGGGTGTGGATTTACACATTCTTTTCAAATATCAGAGACGCCATTTAATAACAGATATGATTTAGTTAAAAAATGAAAAGAAACTCTTGTTTTTAATAAAAAAGTACAAATAATGTCTTACATTTTGAAAGTTGCAATCATTATTTGAATTCAAATTGCAAAAACTTCGTCTATTCATAACTCTTCATATAATTTGAGTATTGATTCTAGTTTTTCCTTATTTAAAGATTACTCGTTTCTCTTCCCTGTGATTTGAAATTAATAATAGTACGCTAGTCATCCTACTAACGTAAAAGTAACCTAATACTTTAACGCTAGGATAGAGATTACAAATAAAATAAATAAAATAAAGTGCAACAAAGTGGCAAGTTGCCTACTCCTAAATTGGCTTACAGGTAAGGCCTTATTGCTTTGTCAGGCCCAGTTAGCGCTTTTGCAGTCATCGATTTTTTTCTGGCGTGGCTTTAGTTTATGACCACGAACACAATACTATAATAATAATAATGGAGTTGGCTCTTGTTGTGTTTTTTGCTTCCCTCCAGTGAATTACGCGCCGCACAGATTTATATGAAGAACACGCAGGAAGTTGTAAAGAAATGTACGCAATTACACTGATAGACTTTGCCCAGCTTTATGGCCACCCATGCCCGAAAATATCGACCGACTGGCTGCTTGGACCGCATTAAATTGATATAACATATACAAATTAATGCAAACAAATGCGAGTGCGGCTGCCAATGACTGAGTGCGTGAGTGCGGGAGTTCGGGAGTTCGGGAGTGCTTCGCATCTTGAATGCGTTTTCTTTGTTTGACGCTGTGTTGTTCTTGCTGTTGTTGTTGCAGTTGCCTTAAGTGCGGCATGGCTGTTTTTACAGAACGCGCCAGTTCTTGTCAATAATTACGACTTTCTGATGTGCGATGGAATGCTAAACAGATCAAAAGCACAGACCAGCCGCCTATCTGACTGAACTCAGCCTCCTCGTCTCCTGGCCACCCTCCCTGGTTACAATTCCCTGTGACAGGCGTGGAGGTGAGGTGTGAGAATTCTCAAGTGAGCTTGGCCGGCAATTCCAGTGCACTCGTGGGCCGCCGTCTACGCTTTTATTTTGGACTTATCACTGGGGATTTCGGGGATATATATTTTTGGTCGTGGCATTGCGGGGCGAGCTCATAAAATAGGTGTGGTCATATCGTCAATAAATATCCCGCCGGCTGGCGGACTGTCTGACTGGATGGCTGTTCAATAAAAAGAAGAGCAACGAGCAAATTAAGAAGAAAAATACAAATGTTTAGAATTGAAAGAAGTTGTTATGCGCTCCAGCAATGTAAAAATAGCATGAGTTGAATGCGTGTAAACAAAATTGCCAGGCAGGTCGGGGTCGGGGGCAAAGTAGCTAACAGAAACAGATATCTATATGTATACTATATATGTATGTATAACGTACATATGTACATATGTACGTAGGAATGACCGAGGAAACATGAAACTTGCAGTCGTGGCTGCTCCCTCAGCTTTCAAACTCCCACTACACTCATAGACTGAGCAGTGCGTAGGCAGGAGAGGTTGAGGCTTCTTGGAATTATGGGTCCATTGTTTACATTCCTCTGCAAACGAATACAGCATTTGTCACGCATTAGTCAGGGCTATCAATCGTTAGAAATCGGCAGCATCAGCAGCATCGGCAGCATTGGTTCTTTGAGAAAATTGGCGCTGCTGTTTCCACAGTCCAACCGATTAAAAAGCCATTTCAAGTTGCGTTACATGTGTTTCCTTCAAGCCTAACATTTATTATTATTCATCTAATCTACTGATGTGGGGAGTGGCTACGAGTATTCGCTGGACAGTTGGTCGATTGGACACTTGGTCAGTTGATTGGCTTGTTGAGCGTTTGAAAAATTTGCATACGACATGTGGGCATTTTGTTTATTGTTTAGCACAGACATAACGAATTGCTTTTCAAAATACGCCAGCCGCGATATTTTACGAGTATAGTATCGTATGTGGCAAATTAATAGGAACTGCCAAATTAGTCGCAGCGTCGACTACACGTTCATGTTGTTGATGTCGGTTGTTGATGACTTAATGATGACTTCTTAATAAAAACGGAAGAGAGAAACAAATTTATTAAATTTACAATGGGATTCTGCTTAAGATATGCGCGATTATTTGCCCATAAAAATTTGCATATGAATGTCACAAGTGAAATGCTTAAAATTGTCGCTAACAAATTTGTGACATTTGTGTGACACGCCATTAACATATTTATATTTATTGGAATTATTATGATAAACAATGATTGGGCATGTTTGGGGCGACTGTGACTGCGCCCGGTTAGAGACACTATCTCTATCGATTTATAGCTGCACACACACATGCCACTGATCCGAATCACGCGTCTAATACCTCCACCTATGCTCGTAGTATCTAACATTTCAATTTGCACTTTTGGCAGGCATTAACTGGACGGATGTATTACGTTCGAGCTGACCACGCCCTAAATGCCAAAATGTGCCGAAAACATGCAAAGATCACACAGGCAGACCGACAGACAGACACACACACGCACATTCCTAGCCCAACCCTTTGACATATGTATGTTTTTTCTTTAATTTTTTCCAGTTTGCGGTGTCTGCTGTTAAGTTGAATTTGGCCCTAGAATATAATCAGAATTCGTAGGCACGCATTATTGAATATAAAAGCAAAAAAAAAGAAAAGGAAATATATATGAGGGAATGGGTATGAGTATCTATTGCCGTCTGTAAGTCTGTGTCGAGATAAGATACTTTATTGACATTGCGTGTCTAAACACTTTACCGCTCCGCTAGTCGCCGTTTTTTTTTTTTTTTTTGATTGTGCGCGCTTTAAGCTTATTTGCATACTCATATTTCTCCATTCTATGCGTGGTGCGTGTGTATGTGTGTGTGTATGTGTGTGTGTATGTGTGTGTGTGTGTGGACACAGCCATCGATACTGCCTGTATCTCTATCTGACTGACTGTATCTATCGGATAGATTTGGTACACTTTTAATTTATTTAGTTTTATGACCAATTTATATGGATTTGATTAAACTTTTTCGCTGTTCCGTTGAGCCCGAATTCATTTCTTGATTGAGTTCACCTTCTACACGACTGTAAATCACATCGGCCGGCCTGCCTGCCTGCCTGCCTACCTACCTAAATATATATGTGCATATGTATGGATACATACTCGTGCATACTTGTAAATTAATGCATACGAGTATAGTGTGTGTCTGTCGCATGTGATGTGACCGCCAAGTGGTTGTTGCCTTGTGACGCCCCAAATCATTACATTCACAAAACGTGACTTTTTTGCCATATTTTGAATTCTAATTCCACTCATTAGACGGCAAGCAGTTCTAAACATAACTTCAAAAAGGTGCAGACTGCACTTGTGACACGTTTCGTAATCTCTTGGCTCAGTGCACCCCCACCTCCAGCTCTTGCCACTGCACGGTTCTGTCGCAAAATTAGCGTCGACCAGGTTGGCAAAGCCTTTTTCTCATTTTCCTTAAGCAGGTGGCAAACAACAAGACGCAGCTGAAATGCAATGCTAAGAGCCTCACTAAGCGTAATGGGTGGCAGGGAGACCCTAGAAGATACACCGGAGACAACTACTCAAAGACATTTCTCACTGCATTTGGTGTGTGGCGCCCGCTCTTAAGGGCAAGCTATTTCCGCAACGGAAAGCAACGCATGCAGGCTTTTGTGGCAGCAGGCGGCTCAGTCTAATTAGAATAAGCAGGCCAGCTAGCTTACTACATAGTACATACTATATACATAAGTACACGGTGGCTTTTGGTGGCTGCTAACTATGCTTGCTCACATAATGCGCTATAGCTATGATTCCATGAATCGGCTATTCTTCTTCCCTTCTTTGGTTTGACTTTTCAAACAGATATTTTGT